GAAGTGATGATCATTTTGTAATAACTGGGAAGGCTTCTGGAGTCGGTGTCACTCCTCTTTGTTAATGAAACGGATGATAAAAAGTCCCTGCCAGCCAAGTGATTGATTGACAGAACGGCCTGGTTTACGCAAAGATTTATTTATGCAAATTTCATGAAGAGGAATGTGCTAATGTTTTATTGCATGCGCCATAATTTAAGTGTTATCATTATTTTGTGAAATATATACAGTTTTTGATGCACACACACATTATACACATTATGATTATTAACACAAATGACATAACACTACATCTAGGATTTCGTGCAACACATAACATCCAGGGGCTTGAAATATTTAATTACAAAGCCATCTCCTAATGGCGACAATCTTTTACCTTAAAATATTGAAATACCACCAGCCACATCTGACAAGCATTGTATGCGTTGATGTGATGAATTTTTCTTCTAAATTTAAAAAGTATCGTTCTGCTTTGTACCATTTGAACATGTTGATAAGACAAGAATCTTTCAATTTGTTTTCAGATATTTTCCTTTGCTAGGTGTTATAGTGATACCAGGTACTGAGTGTTGCTTGTTATCAAATCTTAATTAAATCTTGTTAAGTCTCCATACGAATTCTGATTATTGCTGTCTCCTAACTTATCCGGAAATTGTGTTTTTCAAATGACATTTCAATGTCAAAAAATATTTACTCATTTTGTGATGTAGTAAATGCTATGCAGCAATATAGTATGTACCTCCACATAACTGGAAAACTTAAAACTATCATTTATCTTCAACAAATCTTATGGAGTGGATTTTTTGTTTGGCAACTCAGTCTGTGCAAATCACAGTTCCTTTCCCAAAGTACACTGTCTCATAGATACATTATGAGTGGTCTGCCATACAGGGGAAGTTCACAAAATAGCTATCTATAGGTATCTATTTTTTTCACAGATGGCACAGAGAAAAGTGATATTGCATTTGATTTTGCAGCACAATCATTCCCCTTTGATTTGATCTACTACAGCTGCAGAGTTTTCAGGTTTTGGTCTCATGTATTTTTGTGCACTTGCATGTGCAGTAAGTTGGAGCATTGTTTTTTTTTTCCTTTGCGTATATATTGCCTGTATGGAATGTTTTTATGGGAACTAATTATGGTACATTTTCCTCAGAATTTATGTGGAATTTTCATTCTGGTCAAGGAAAGTAAACAGGCTCTTGCATGGATTTTCTAGAGCTGACCTCCATTGCCCTTGGTCAAAATTGAAATCGTGGTGTCTTTTGGAATTTAGTTTCATTTAACGATAATTCAGTAAACTGGGGAGTTTTAAAAATGCCAGGAATCAATGTTGGTAGACAGTCTTTGGGCTTATTCCCAGTGAAAATCTCACTAAATGCAGTCACGAATACAGCCCCAGCCTTCTCCTGGTATTGAGTAGATAATAGAAAAGCTGGTGATTATCCGAGTATGTTGGAAGGTGTGTCATTCAGTTAATCTGATTGCATTCAGCGAGAGTAACCACTCACCCAATGCCAAGTACCAATGAATTTAAAACCACTGGGTCATCCAAATCTCACAAATTTGTTAATTTACTGACCACTATTTCTTCTTTAGGCCAGTTAATTCTTAGGGTGTGTTCACAATGAAGCTATCATACTAGGTAGTTCGAACTAACTTCACAGGGACTCTTGCTAAATGCAAACAGATTAAAAGATAAACACGCCTCCTCCTTGAGTAGAATACATACAAGCTGGTGATGATATGAGTACATTGGAAAAGAGGAGGCATGTTAATTTGTGTTAATCTGATTGAATTCATTTAGAGTTCACGGGAAGTTTGGATTACCTAGAATGATAGTTTCATTGTGAACTTACCCTTAGACCCGATGCCCCAAAGGACCAAAAAGCTTTAAAAAGTTATTGACACAGACTATCATCTTAACAGTTTGATAGAATGAGTTACATAATTATCTAGTTTATTCTAGACTTTGAGTCTAAAGTGATAGAAATCACTGTATGCTGTGCCTTTTCTGCCCCCTTTTTCCCCATACCCTAAAAAAATGTAATTCATTGTAATTGTAAGTATTATAATGGTAGACATCATTTAGAGAAGTTTTAGATAGAATGAACCTTTTCCCAGTGTGAGATTACCTCAATCAGCATAAATATCATTTTCTTGCTATGTTTATTTACAAACACAAGCAAATGATTGCTTTCGAATTGGCATCAAAGTAATCCTTTCATTTAATTCCCTGAAGTGAATTAATTCCTTTCTCTTGAGGAGGTTTAAGGAAATTTCCCTCTGACCCCTTGCTGGGTAATGAACTGTAAAAGTACGGAGGATTATCGAGTTCATGAAATTAGAGTTTTGTTTCTGCTTTTGCTCTTGCTCATCCTCCGTGACTTATGCCACTTCCTCTTTGACATCCTTTATTATCTTACTTAATGTACAACATTACAGACAGGGAGACTGACAGGATTTTTGTGTTGTATACAGTAATGTGTGTGTGTGTGTGTGTGTGTGTGTGTGTGTGTGNGAGAGAGAGAGAGAGAGAGAGAGAGAGAGAGAGAGAGAGATTCACCTAATGTTATTGTTTTTAGGACAGTGATAATGTGCAGAATTATTGATTTTTTAACAGGCTTCCTTCAAATTAGCATCCAGGATTAATGGCTTGGATATCTGTAATTGTGATGATTGAAACCTCATAAATGGGTATAATGTCTGTCCTATCTCGTATAGACCTTCTGCAATTATTACGGTAATTTTCCACAAAATTCATATACCTGACATATGACTTTCCATATTATTTTTTTCACTTGAGAAAACGAAACAAAAAGAATAAATTTTTCATTGGTTTGTAGGCCCCTTTAAATGCACCACTATGGAAACATTTGGACTGGGGGAAGGTGACTATCTTCCATAAAAGCCAGGCTATTCGATGTTAATATCCTTAAGTATTTTGTTATAGATAAATGTAATGCAGGGAGTTAAAAGGGAATAACAGAATATTGTTTGTGAAAGTATGAATAATCCAATTTGTTTGAATCTGCTGAGTAATTACAGTATGTCCGGAACCGAGTTGTAGTATTAAAGTATAACACCAAGTTAGAGAGGAGCATAGAATGACATTTTCCTGTATGGGAGAAGTTGTATAGTTGCTAGAAGCACAGTAGACTAGACAGTTTTGTCAATGAGTTGGTGCAATTTATTGATTTTATATAAAGAATGCAGCATAGTGAGTGTCTTTGCAGCACCTCCATGATTTTCAAGCCTTCCCAACTACCAGACTCGGCATCGAATGATCCTGAATTCACTGGTATATCGGACCACACTACCCATTTTCAAGGTGTGCGTCAGTACGCGATTCGAAGTATCAGTCGCGAGACTCGCGACACTGCTCTTGATTAGTAACTTGCTATGTGATAGTGATGATTCTCAGTGGGGTTGGAAAGTAGTGCATCTCATCTCAAAATTTGTTCTGGGGTATGATACTGTGAAATGCATACTGACACACACCTTGAAAATGGGAAGTGTGGTCCGATTTACCGGTGAATTCTGGATCATTCGGTGCCCAGTCTGGCAGTTGGGTAGGCCTGATTTTGTATCACAGAATTGAGAGAGAGAGAGAGAGAATTAAATGACATTTGTCTTGATTTGGCCAAACTTCTGCAGATATTATGGGCTTTAAGATTAAATTTGAAATAAATAAAGCAAGAAATAAAGGCATAGGAGACTTATTTTGTGGTAAGTTTTTATCTCCTAGAAAAAAAGGATTTATGCACATGTAAGATTGAAGGAAGTCTCTTTTTGGTGAGCATTGAAAAATTGATGTTGATCTATACTTGAAGCAAAAATGTCATTGGATGGTGAACTTTTCCTTGGTGACTTTTCCCCATAATTAAGGTCATTACAGAAAATGTTTTGTCTGTGGTCCTTCTTATATTAAGTGGTACACTTAAATAGATCAGTCCACTTAAAACAGTCCAGGCCTGTATTTATGCTACAGGGGTTTTTACTTCTCTACGCCTCCCTGTTCAGGTAATTAATTGGCCATGTGTGATGGGCAGTTGGAGGGGGGGGGCATTTAGGTAACTCTTTTATGAAATACATTGCTTTAAGTTGTCGATCTCTCACACTAGACCAGTCCAGGTAACTATACTGCTTGATTGATAAAAAAAGACCTTTCAGTTCATTTTCATTAGTGTTCTTCGTTGGCTCAAAATATTAAAGGAAGTTTAGGAAATTGGAGTAGTTTTTACTAATAGTTATCTTGATTACAAAATCACATTTTAGGATGAAAGCATACAGAATAGACAAGACTGATAAAAGTCACCTTGGGCATCATTTTATCTGAGAATGATGCAATTGTGTGACTACTGAATCATTACTGTTATTGCCTGTGGACTTCCTTTTTAGTCAAATTCAATGCTGACATTTGATAAAAGTTCGTTTTCAGAGAAAAAAATGAAGGATAAAAAAGGAAACTATTTGACGTGGCAATTGAAATGCAGTTTTGCAATACTTATATTCTCCTTGGCTCCAGGGTTGGATATAAAAGTCAATTTCTCTTCATTTGATATTGAATTATATCTTTAAAAATTGCCCTGGAGACCTAGAATGTATGTGTAGAGACCATACAGTACATTAGTCTTTCTACTGTGTGGGGAAAGTGCAGTTAAACTTTTAAGAAATACTGAATGGGATTAGGTATGCTAGTTAAAATTTTGTCTTTCTCTTATTATGATTTGCAACTTTTTTTTTGGGCAGGGAGGGGGCTCAGAAAAAAGTACAATAATTAAATGCAATGATATGAAGAAAAAGTTAAATTAAGTATGAAAACGAGACAGACAGACATATAACTCAACACGACTAATCTGATCTGAAAATCCAACCTTCCTCATTTGTGAAATGCTTCAACTAACCTGGCTTTAAAATTTTAAGTGATGAATTATAGAGGAATGTTAGAAATATAATAAGACTGTATAGAAAATTGGATATGAACCTCTCTTTTCCAGGTCCTGTATCACATGTTTGAGACATACAGCCATATTGGAGAGGACAATATCACAGCCCAAGATGTCCTTGCTGGAATTGCATCTTTCTGTATAGTTGGCATTGGGGGAACATTGGTCGGGGTGATCTATGGCCTCATCACTGCATTCATCACGCGTTATACGGACCATGTGCGCGTGATTGAGCCACTGTTTGTGTTTGTGATGTCATACCTCTCGTATCTGACAGCCGAAATCTTTCACCTGTCGGGAATTATGGCGTGAGTATGAAAAGGAGTATGCAGTGATTAAATTTTTAGCATGACTTTTGAGGGGGAAAAGTTAAAAATGCAATCTTATTTCAGTGCATGCAGACAACTCTTTCTAGAAATACCATGTATAAGCATGGCTTCTTGCTTTTGGTAAAATACAAAAAAAAGAAAAAAGAAGAATGAATGAATTTTGATGCATTTATATAACTAAAAAAATGCAGATTTCTTGAGGCAATTTACCTTATTGCTTTAATCATTGGTAGATGATTTATTTTTTTGTCTTTTGCTTTAGTTAAAGGTTAATGACTTTTATCAGTTGCTTGATGTTTTGCCAGCTGTTATGAACACAGACCATAATGTCTATGAACTTTACATTGAATTTTGGCTGTATGTAACCGTAGGAAAGTTGAGAATAACCATGTTCAAATGCCTGTATTGATGATAAATTTTGAGGATCATAAAAATAGGATATTGATCTGTAAATGTTAAAAAATATTGTTAAGGCAGATTGCTGAGTTGTTCCCTCTCGAGAGATAAGCCTTCTCAACTTTACTAGCAAGTTTTTGATATAGTTTTTGTTCAATAGTTTTTGAACAGGGAGTACATGTATGTGTATAAGGTAGTATAAGTTGTGGGATTGAAATTTAGCTAAGAAATTTGTTGACATATGTTTGCATTTGTGTGGGAGGAAGGAAAAATAAAGAATTAAGGCTTTACGATGCAGAATAAAATAATTGAGCAGTCATTGGTGGAAAAACATAATAAACAAGACAGAAATGCGTTTTTTGTGGTAAAAATAAGAGTTTCATTTCCATGTGAGCTCTGGAAGTTGGAATCTTTGGCCTCTTTACCAATTGATTTACTTTTTGGCTATTGTTTATCCAGAGACAGTGAAATTTTGTTTGCGAGTGTGGATAATATCCCCCCGAGTTTCAGTCTCCTGGAAACTTGTCTGTATGACCTGCATTGTGCTGTTTTAATGAAATAGTCTCTGTACTTCAGTACTCTGAACCTTAGGGGATTATGGGATTGGGCTACAGGCAGGATGGCTATGGGGGTTTGAAAGAACTGCCTTTTGGTCAGAAAATGCTCTTTTTAAGATCAAAATTTAGCCTTGTTTCTGTGCCATTTTTCAAGGTTGGGTCAACTAAGGGGATGAAAAGGTCCACTTTTTCAGGAAAAGACCCCCTCCCTCCCTCCCTTTTAAAATTGCTGGCTTCAGGACTAGACTAACATGAAGTTGTTTCATAATATTGGCAATCTTGTTAGTTGTAGCTGCCACAGTTGGTTTAACTTATACCCATTTATCATTAATTTCCTTTGGCAGTTTCTGATAGGTTTGTAGTTTAAATAAATTGGAAAGCATTTCTGCCAACTCTACAGTAATTATCTTGTTTGAAACAGCATTGGCACTTTTCTCCCTTTTCCTTGAAAATTGCATTCTTCAAGAATGATGTGATTGGTTCTTTTTCTGAAAATTTTTCTCAGAAAATTTTATTGCGTCAATCTTTTGTAGAAGGGAATTTCCCTAGTAGATTACAGCTACACTTGTTTCTGCATGTAGGTTGCTTTACTAATCAAGCAGATCAGTTATGGTTCCTTCCCGTGAGATTAAAACACTGTGACATCAAACATTGAGAATAGAAATAACTTAATTGGCAGGCCCCTAGCCAGCAATTTCAAAGGGGGGGGGATTATTATTATTATTATTTTTTTTTTCAAAAAGTGGACCTTTTATCATTAAACCTTTGTGTACCTAAATCAATGCATTTTTAACCAAGAGCGGACCTTTTCCTGGCAAAAAAAGTGGTTCGTTCAACCCCCCCCCCTTCTGTGGACCTGCTTGGTGTAGCAAGACCTTGACAGAAATTTATTTTGTGCATGAATCAGAAAGACCATCCCTGTTATGATAGATAAATTCTGTGAGCAGTCTTTGTTTGCAGTCTTTTGCTAGAATTTATTCGAAATGAGAGCTGACAGGTAAAAAATGGTTTGCTTTTGGTCCAAAGATTCTCTATCCATCTTTGTGTGAATTCCTCATGAGATTATTTGTCAGAATTGTCTTCAGCATGGAGCATTGATCTGTTTAGCGTGATGGATATCCTTACGAGCTCAGAGTTTTCTCCCCAAGGGCTATGAAGTGGACTATTGAGATAATGCCACATATTTAATCCTGCCAGTTATCCTTATTAAGAACTGATGAGATGTGCAGATGCCATGGTGCATAATGAAACGCATTCAAAATAAAAATGCGTGGAAGGAACAAATGCAATTACATGGGTACGTATTGGCATGCTTAAGCGTGCATATACACTTTTAAAGACATGCATGTGCATTCCTCCTCATACACTCATGCATACACATATGCACACACAATAGTCAAGTCATGACTTGGTTGCAATCTTCACCAGAATATTACATGTTCTTACTCGATTTAAAATACTGTAGGTAGACCACATCCTTCAAGGACGTTGAAAGTGATCTGGGCAAAATATAAAATGCATTGTTTACATGCATAGCACTTGTTGGGTAGGTTTGTAGACATATTCCTGATGAAGAAGTACATGTATATATTCCACACATATTTGCCTGCCTCTTCAGTATTTGACAACAAATACAAGATTATCCAAAATTCCATTGCCTATCAACTTCAAGAATTGAAAAATTAATTAGATAAATAAATAAATAAATAAATAAATAAATAAATAAATAATTAACGGATATAGAATGATATGCTTTCAGATTAGCATATCCTATACCAGACAACCTGCTATGATGGTATACTATAATAGTTATGTAAACCCATCTTCACTGGAAACGCACCTTAACATTCATCTGAGCATGACTCGTTTCTTATTCCTCGACATGGTAATCTCTCTTGAGTTGTCAGCTAGGTCTGGGAGATCAATACTATCAATACTTAAAAACTTTTACGTCAACAATGACTGACAAAAATGGCAGGAACTCTTTGATGTACATGAAGAGCTGATCTGGACTGATCACTGTCTCCCGATCTGATAACTTTCTCCTTTGAACATGGCAGGTTTTGCTTTTATCCCATAGCTGACAGAACGTCCATGTTTATGTAGAACTACCATGAGCTCATGGATCTTTTTTTATACTGGGTTAACATTTCAAGAGATTTAACTACATTAAAAAGGATGTGCAGGAGTTAGGAGTAGAGGAGGACCATATGCAAGATCGTTGTGGGTGTAGGCATGCTATGGGCTGTGATGACCCCCTAAAAGCATTAGATAGTGGAGTTAATGTGCTGAGTGTTTTCCTTACATACTTAGACCATCTTTCATGAATGATTTTACACATTAATTTCATTTCAATATGATTTTTAGTTAGTTGAAAACTATGTGGCTGCTATTAACTAGAAAAAACTATACTTAAATAATAGTTATTATAATTTTTTTGTCTGGATTAATGAACCAATTAGTCCATTATTGAGATATATTATACTAGACGGTTGTTTTCTACAAAGCTGTCTTGTACTTTCTTTACAAGGCTAATACATTTCAGAAATAGCTATCAAGAATTAGTAGAAAATAGGTGTGTTGTGATGTGGATTGATTGGAAAAGAAAAATGAATATCTCGCCCTGACTGGAATAAGTTCCTCACAAGAGCCAATTATTTCATGTAAATCCTGTGGAGACTGTAATATGATCTCCCTGTTGTGTCTTTTGGACCAAATCGTGTGAAATGATCAACGCTTTGGTAATCATCTGCGCCACTCATTACGTGGCATGACTTGATCAATCAATACAGGCTGGCTGGTGCTTTATGAAATATGCCAGACCTTGGCAGCAGATACTGTCTCAGTATTGTGTAGATTTTAACAAGTTTTTTTTTTAATTTGTAAAGCAAAGTAGTAGAGGATTGATATCTGGGCTCAAGACAGCAAGAGCTTTGTCTAGGTCTAAGGGGGAGGTCAAAATGTCTACCCAGGTCATATTATGAAAGAAAATCAATGCCAAGTTGTCAGAAGGTGCTAAAGCACTTTATATTACCTATTGTGGAACTAAATTGTTAGTAGTAATTTGCAAAATATATGTGTGAACAATACTGCAGCAATTGCATCTAGGAAAGAAAGTCTTGGAAGTTGATGTGCCCAGGTATTGAAAATTACAAATAAAATGATTTATTTGACCAGGTTCAGAACTGATTTGCAATTCTCAGAGATTAGGTCTTTCGCAAGACTAATGATATCCTATTCATGAGTGGAAGTAGATGAAGAAGAAATGAGAAAATAATCAAATAAGCTGCGATTGATCATAATGAGGTGTGAATTGGTATCGATCCTCTGCCACGTCAGGTAGTTCTAAGAATACTAACCAAAGGATGATGGAAATTAGTTTGAAAGCAATTTTTGAAAAATTAACAGGTTGTGTTCAAAACGGAGGCCGATGCTTCAAAATATAATTTAAATGTGACTAAGTAATTTGTCAGCAAAGTGTGATAGTGCCTGTGAATCCAGGAAGTAATCAGATATCAGGATCGAAACTGATGCTATTGCGTTAATATATGACCTGTAGTAGAGTTATGAAAATTCCCTCTGGATTTTTTACACAGCCCATCTTGATCATTGTGTTAGATGAGACAGATTGTGTTAGGTGATGTTAATGTTATCTTGGGTGAGACTGATTGCATTCAAATGGAATTGCAGTAGATTTTTGTTTGCACAGAAATGTTGGTACTGATAATAAACATAAAGATTTTAAGTTATTTTATAGGGTATTTGTAAAACTTGCCTTGTCATCAGATGTTTTTAGTATTTTTACAGAGATGCCAGCGTGTCAGTACTCAAAATGCGTAGATCAACTTAATAACAAAAGAATAATAGTTAACACCTAGCAAACAAAGGGAGTCTGTCCTAGTAAATAGGCAGAATAAGTGTAAATATAAAGAAAGAGGCAAATGTTTTGTTTAAGGAGCAAGTAAATTTCAGTTAACTTTCCTTAAAATCACTTTCTTCCAGGATTGTGTTCTGCGCCATCACCATGAAGAGGTATGTGGAAGCCAACATCTCGCAGAAGTCGCACACCACCATCAAGTACTTCATGAAGATGATCAGCAGCGTCAGTGAGACTGTGATATTCGTGTTCCTTGGCCTCTCAACTGTGGTGGATACCCATGATTTCAACGTGGGATTTGTCCTCCTCACTCTGGTCTTCACACTCATATACAGAGTCATAGGTAGATAATAATAATAATTTATTTACTTATTTATTCATAGTATAAAATCCATTTAAAATGTACAGTAAATTTTACATTAAGTGCTTAAGAACACAATTACCAAGATACATAAGAATGAAAAATTATTAAGAAAGATTAGCAATCTAGATGTTTAAAATGGCCTAATTCCCACATTAAACCAATTACAAGTAAGATAATCAATAATTGAAGTTCTTTAAAAGATCCATTTTTAACTCCTTTCTAAAGATATCAGTTGATTCAATTGAGATAGTTTTGATGTGAAACGTGCAGGTCGGAAGTTCACTAATTTTGTTGAAATTTCACACAATCAAGTGTTAACTGTTAATTTTATGAAACCAGTGACATTTTATTTTAAAAGTTAATCAGGACATGTTTGGTGAATAGATTCAGTCATCCTGTAGAATTAGAATCAGGAATATGTATCAAGCGATTCTGTAACTTGCACTAAATGTTGAACCAACTAGCCCTATTTGACTAAATGAGGTGACTAGACCATCCTTGTTTCCTGGGTGAGATCGGTTCAAATATTTCTAACATTTCCCCTGTTATTCGTTCAATATTTCTTTCATTTTTTGGCATTCCTCCTGAACATGCTCATCGTGTCATGTTGTGTCTTAAATTTCTATCAAACATGTTCAGTCTAAAGAATAAAATGGAACTCCCTTTACCAAGTCAGATGTTTCAAGACATTTCGTGTGTTTCAGGTGTGATAATCCAGTGTGCCATTGTGAACAGATTCCGTCTGCTTAAACTGAGCAAGGTTGACCAGTTTGTGATGTCATATGGCGGCCTCAGAGGGGCCATTGCCTTCTGTCTTGTGATACTCCTGGATGCCAAAGTTATACCGGAGAAGAGGATGATGATCACTGCGTGTATTGTGGTGGTCTTCTTCACTGTGTTTGTACAGGTGAGACCAGAAAAAATCCTGTCATTTTAACTTTACTTAACACTCATATTAAACATACTGAAGGACAACATTTCCAGGTAATGTTGGTGGTATTTTTCCTTGTGTTGATAATTAATTAGCTCTTGTGTTCTTTTTTTTGATCATTATTTAATAAATGAATTGTTTCAAATTTTCCATTCTTTAATGTGATCATTCTAGGGAATAACAATCAAGCCATTGGTGAATATTTTGAAAGTGAAGAAATCGGAGAAGCACAAACCCAGTATGAATGAGCAGTTACATGAAAGGGTAAGAAATGTATACACTGCATGCACAAACATCTTTCTACTCCCCATGGAATAAGTTTTGATACTGTAAACATGAAGTGAAAAAATAAAATTTGAATAATATGTTACAATGTAAGCTCAACCAATTACTTTTGAATATGAGGAGAGAATATTTTTGATTCATGATCTTCACAGAAATGATAATATATTACAATGTAAGCTCAATCAATTACTTTTGAATATGAGGAGAGAATATTTTTGATTCATCATCTTCACAGAAATGAGGTCATAATAATATTTCTTGTTTTAGGCTATAGACCATGCAATGGCTGGGATAGAGGACATCACCGGTCACCATGGACACCACCACCTTAGAGACAAGTAAGGGCCCATTTCCAATTAAATTATTGTTCTAGGTAGATAGATCTAACTTCTCAGTGACTCTTGCTGAATACAATCAGATTAACTGAATGACATGACTTCTCTTGTTTGAGACATACTCAGATAATCACCAGCTTTTCTGGCTTTTCTGTATACTCAATGTCAGGAGAAAGCATGTCAATCTTTTAATGTGATTGCATTTAGCCAGAGTCCCTGCGGAGTTGGCGCCATCTATGTAGAAAGATAATTTCCTTGGGAATGGGCCCAAAGATGTGGTTCTGGTACTTGGCTCTACAAAAAGTAGAAAAGATACAAAATGGATCAAATGGCTATGATATAAAGGATATACAGATTGCACCTACATTTATGGTCATACAGCATCACTACACAAATATTGGTAACTTCAGATCATATATAAAATGGACTGCCAATGTATGGAAAATCATGGTCTTTTAGAAAAGTTTGTTCAATTGAAGTTGAATACAGTCAACATTGACCATAATGTGGACCTGATATTAAAAAAGTTCTTATGTTTCTCATTAAGGAGAATGTTTTTTTTTCTAATTTCCTTTCAGTGGGTCTGTAAACTTTACAACCAAAATTATGAACCATAATGCCTTTTCTTTGTATAATATTCCGTGCTGCATTTGGAAAACTCTAACCTCTTGAGTGTCTGGAATTGTAGCACAAACTACGTAGAAGATGAGTTCCTTTAAATGCAATTACATCGATTGTTTCAGGTTTGAAAATTATGACAACAAATATCTTAAGCCACTTTTGCTACGAGAGCGTCCAGTGACCCGTGAGACAAAGATTGTGAAAGTCTCAACCAATTTGAGTTTGCGAGATGCTATGGACCATTTGGCCAAACATGGATCATTTGCAGTGTCCAACGATCTGTACAATGGGAATGAGACTTCACTGGCAAAACTGATCAGGAATTATTCAGCTAGCTCATTGTAAGTACTTGTGAAAGTTTTATGGCCCAGACTGCTAGTTCACTGAAATTTTCAGCAATGTCATTTTTATGAAATATGGTGAAAGCTGAAGGGCTGAGGTGAGAAGGTTGGGAAGACATGGGATGGGAAGAGTGCTGCACCAAAATTAGCAGTTTTTATGAAAAATTACCTTTTTAACTGGTGTAGTTTTTATTGGGGAAAGTTCTTACTTTTTGATCATCCTGTTTTGTTGTGTCCCATTTCAGAAGAAACGAAATGAAAAACAAGTAAGATGAGACTTTTTTTGCTTTAAGCTATGATTTGAAAAAAAGGTGTGGCAAAATTTATTTTTGTGGACAGGATTGTCATGATTTTCAGTCTGTTATTTCTTTTGAGTCCTTGGGTACCACAAAGTAGTACACAACCTGGTGTATTTCTGTATAGGGGGATTTTTTTTTTTTTTGAAAAAATTATAATGTTATAAAAAAGATGGAGATTGTGTTGGCAGAAATGTTAAACAATAAAAAATAAGTGTATTCCTAATTTTGATGATAACAAATTTGGATTGGTTTAGAATATTTTGATCACATTTTGTGAAAGAAAAAAAAATATGAAAAAAAAAAAACAATAACAAAAACAAAAAAAAAAACTCGCATTTATGAGATATCTGTGAATAATAAACCTTGGGTTATGAGAAAGTTTTGAAAAAATATGTGGATTTTGTCAGGCTAAAGATCATCAGGTTGTGTTTTGTTTGAAAAAATATGATTATTTGGCTAAAAAAAGCAAAAAGTGGGTGTTTTTTCTTGGCATATGCAGTGAAAAGCTCAGACAATTATTTTTTCTTCTTTTCAGCAAGTTGATGCTAATCAAGTTTTGTCACTTTATTTTATTGCTTTGCCTTCATCTTTTGAATGTATAATTTTGCTTCTTATCCAAATAGACATTAGAATTAATATTTAATTTCAGACATTTTCCATTGGGTTATATGCCCCCAGCAGGTTTGAGGTACTATTATAAACTGCATTTTGTTTCTCCCCTCACTGTGCAAACAAACCAGTATAAAACCAAACCAAATCCTCTTCTTCTTGCTACCTGAAGGCCCATTCCCAATGAACTATCATTCTATGTAGATCAACCTCACTCCACAGGGATTCTTGCTGATTGCAATGAGATTAACAGATTACCACGCCTCCTCTTGTTTCCAATGTACTTCTGTTATCGCCTCCTTTTCTGTATTCTACAGGAAGAGGTGAGTTAATCTGATTGCATTCAGCAATATTCCCTGCATAGTTGGCTAGATTTACATAGAGTCTGATCATCAAGTTTGGGAGAGATGGACATGTTGCAGGAAAATGAAGACCTCTGATTAGTTATTTTACCAAAAAGCAATGCCTTTTATCCTTTTTTGTTTTATTTATGTAGTACTTAAATTTACTGTTCTCCATGCATGATTGAATTCTCAAGTCTTGGCATAGCTAGAAGACCAGGTATCTGAGTCTTAAAATAGAAGAACTATTTGCCTTAAACAGAATCCATTTCCTTCTCGTTATTAAACAAGTGCATTAAATCGTTCATTTTGGCTTCTACTAATTTATTTGGATCATGAAAATCAGGATCAGAAATTTAACATCATTTTTCAGTTTAAAATTCATTTTATGAAGCAAGCTTGAGATATTATGTCAGGTGGATGAAGGTGGAAATAGAGAAAAGAGGGTTTGGATTGATAAAGACAGGCCCATAGCCAGAGGGTGTTAGTGATGGTGGTGGTGGTGGTGGGGTCGAATGAACTGCTCCTTTTGATGGGAAATGGTCCACTCTGGGTTAAATTTGATATACGTACACAGAGGTTTTGTGGTACAAGGTCCATTTTACCAGAAACCAGTCCCCCTCCCCTTTTGGAAATTGCTGGCTACGGGCCTGAAAGATTTCACTTCCCATTTCCCTGTTTCAACACATACATTTTCTCCAGTCATGCCCCTGCATTTTGTCTATTAAATAATACAAATACTGCATGATTTTTTGTTTTTGTGTCATCACCAAATTGTGTCATTACATTGTACCTTTTTAATGATTACCTTTCACAACTGAAAAAAAAATTGGCACTAATAATATTATTTGTTGATATTCACTATGTATTTATGAGTCCTTTATCTATGATACTGTTGTGAAATGTGAACTGATAAAAAATATGTATTTACCTCGATACAGATTAGTCTTGACTACTTTGTGTGGTGTGTATTCATCTGTTATTTTTATATTGCTGTGAGGCATAAGTTTTTAGTATATTTAATTCACTTAGTTTACTATGCAGCAGTCACGTTAAGTAAATATATAATGTGTTAGCACACTTTCATGTTTTAAATTTTCATACATGTATCATGGTGAAAACATCCATAATGGTTTGTCTCCTCTCTGGGTATTTATCTGCTGTGTGACATTGCTGTGAAACTGGTGATATTTTTACATATACAATTTATGCGAACAAAGACTGTACTGTATTCAGTAATTGTTGCTGAATTTTTGGGATTTTTTAGAGGGGCACCTTAAGCTAAACATAAACATGCTAGCCTGACTCTGTGATCATAGTGTAATTAAGTCAAATTCTAGATTTGGAAAGCTTGGTATGTGTGAGCACTGCTGTTTTTGATAGTATTTTTGCTATTAATGTGGAAAAAAGTTCATGCCACCCTAGGGTTGAAATATCTGTTTAACCCCCCCCCTTTCCCCTCTTCTCGCCTTGTGCATACCACTCTACCTGTATAAAAATGTCTATAATCTAGCGAAGGAAATGATTCACACTAAGGTGGCCAGGGGGTACTTCATTCTCTGTTCACTGCAAGGCATGATGAAGTTATTTGGTTCACAGATTTCAAGTTCATTCACACAGTGACTCATTATCTTATATGCAAAGCATAATATTCCAAATTTTTATTGCTACATATTGTGAGGACATGATGCTGAGGTCTTTGTAAGATGGATCATTGCTTCAGTTCATTGTAATCATTCAGTGAGCACTACATTTTAAGCTGTTGTTGTTCTTTTTTTAAAGTTTTCTGATATTGACCGTAAAAATGTTGTTATTGTAGCCACAGTCAACAGAGTGATCATGCAGACAGGGAGGGAGGCATCACCCCCAACAGCACGTGTATTGACATGCAGGCCATTGAGGCCCACTACTGCAAGAAGATAGCAGACGACACCAAAATTCACCATATTTTGGATAACAGTTTGTTTAAGCCAAGGAAACGGGTAATTTTTGCATGTGAAACATTGAAGAATCAGTTTGTTAAATCAGTCTATTAATTTTTTTTAATATACAGAAAAACTATGTGTAATTTGAAAGGAATGCAGACAGTGCAGGTATTTTCCTATAGCTTGCTCAAGATTATATTTCAACCAAGAAAGTAAATGGATTTCATTTGTGATGAGATGGCTGGTAAATCCCATCTATCTTCATCTGTCTGTTAACTTTCATGGAAGATGATATTTCATTGGGCATTCAGTTGATATGTGGTTTTGGTTCAGATTCTTTACCTACCATTACTTCCCAGGGGCAGCCTTAGAGAAATTGCAAAAAACAATTATTGGGAAAATAATGTTATATGAATGAATAACTGCATGTCGGACTGAAGGATTAGAACCCAATAAATTTGGAAAGATATTACTACTTAGTTGATCTATTGAGATTTTTTATTGTTTGTGGCAAGTAATGAATTTTACTTTCCAGTGAAAATGTCCATAATTTTAACTTTCTTTGCTATATTCTTCATATTTGTGAAAATAAGGCTGCTGCTATACAAGTTAATCTGAATTGGCAGGATAGTCAGTTGTTTAATCTATAGATAGCAGTTGTTTTTAGAATCAAGGGATGTAAAATGCAGATATTGTTTCAAAACATGTTGATCAAGTACCTTATGCTTATTTTATGGGTAAAGCTTATACATATTGGTAAGATTTGATTATGTTCTGATGCCATATATTGTCAGTTTCCTTTTTGAATAAGTTGTGTTAAAAAAAGCTTTGGTGAAAGTGTTAGTTTTCGTCATGATTCACTTGTACATTTCTTTCTTGACATTGCAGTGGACTAAGCACCAGAAGCATGAACTGGACACAGAAAATCACGCTCCATTCCGACACAAGGCTCGTCAGCATATCCGTCACATGATCAGCCAGCATCAGATGAAGCGCAACGCCAATAAGGCCAAGGTCAATAAAAACGGCACAAATGGAAAAAGTAGTAAAAATGGCGGGGTTAAATACTTAAACGTCCCTGGAGAAGCTGTGCAGAGAAAACCAACCAAAAATGTCAGTTTTGCTGACGACTTGGATACGGAGGGCAAAGATCATAGTAAGTGTTTGATATGGAATTAAGGTAACATAAATCACAAGGAAGCCGCTTGGAAGTGACACACTTGTAGCTGAAATTATTGATTGTTTCAGAGGAGCCATTACAACCCAGTAACACAACTAAAACATTTTCCATTTAATGGTAGAGGCACCAATAATATAATGTACAGCATTTTTACCCACTGCCATATTACATGTTAAGTCTTTTGAAACTTTTTATTTAGATTGCATTGCATTTAAATGCAAAGCACCTTCATGTGCATCAATTTCATTTGACCCATCAACCATACAAATTTATGAAAGTTAAAAATAGATGAGTAAAAGTACATTGTCTTGAAGTACTTAGAAGTGGTGAATGTTTGTTGCTTTTATACATTAGTGGATATGTGGTATTGTGTCAAACTTCACCTAAATTTTAAAATGAAAATTCAATTTTTGGACCATGAAGATTTTTCATCTGTTTATTGTAGGAGAGCCTCCAGTTAAGTGTAGGTTCAGTGACGTCACTGAAGACAAAGAGGAGGATTCTGATTCCAGCTCGGAGGCAGGGATCATGTTTACTGCTGGACCAACGGAAGATGAAGAGTCTGAGCCTGGTGAGTAGAAACAGACTGTAGGGGGCAGCACTTTTTTCTGTTTTAGATTTTTTAAATGTAATTATAGCATTTTGGGATCATCCATTTTTATCATCATTTTCACAAGTCTACAAAGAGTAGAAATTTTCCAGACCCTCTCTCCCCTCCCTTCATTTAGAGAATACAAGGTGAAAAGCTAAAAATGGTGACCTTTGCCAGCACACCCCAGGTAGGTGAAGATAATCATTTTTACTATTTATCCAAAAGTGTGCAGAGGGCATTAACACACCCGCACCTGGTGTATGCTTTGTAGACTTATGAAGTTGATGATAGATTGTATGACCCCTTTGTTTTATAGTTCAATTTGTTGCATTTGTTAGACATACAGCATATCCTGTGACACTGAATTCTACAGTTTAGAGGCAGCTAATTTTTAGTAACTTTTCTAATATTATAAGGTAGAATATAAACTGAAAACTTAACACTTGTATTGAATCTTTTTCTTTTTTACCTCTATATCAAATTATAAAACGTAAATTTAGTGGTAGAATTAAATGCTTATTGTAATAATTTCTTAGTTGATTATATTCTTGATTTGGCATTGTTGTTGTTATTGCTCTTATTATTGCCATTATTTTTTTGAATGTGGCAAAGATACATGTAGCAAATGAATGCTTTTACCCAAGTGATTAGTTTGATGTTTTACTTGTTGTATTTGTTTTGTAATTGTGTGTTGTGAAGATGATTTGGTTGATTTGATTTATAATTCTGAACTCACACATTTGCTGATGTTGTCTTTTAATCCTCACAGGCAAAAACAAGGAAAAATGTATGTTTAAAGATTTCTAGTATTTGGCATTATATTTATTTTTTAATACTTTTTTTTGCTGCTTGGTTCATTTGTACACGTTTGCATTATTGGTTTTTACTCTTTAATATTTGTGTATTCTTCATGCATTTTGACTTATCAATAAAAATAATTCTTAAAGCTTGCATACATTCAAATAACACTTAAATAATACAAATGGTGATTGGTGAAACCAAAATTAAAATTTAAAGGAATTTATAAATAGAATATGTTGGGCAAATATATTTTATTCAGTAACCATTATTTTGGTATCACCATAGACAACCATAAGAGAACTAAAAACTTTTCATTGCATGCAGTTAAACTCTTCATACATTGGCTTGACTATGATGTTATGCATGCAGTAAACCTCTATATTACAATCAACTCACATAAAGCATTATATGGCATACTGCTAAACTAACTAATACAGTATTTTAGACTGACACCTAAAACTACAGTGACATAAAGACAAGGAAAATTCTAAGGCTCATTCCCAATGAAAATGTTGTTCTATATAGATCAGTCCAACTCTGCGGGGACTCTCGTTGAATGTAATCAGATTAACAGGCCTCTTCTTAAACTCATATAATCACCAGCCTTTTCTGTATTCTATTCAATACCAGGAGGAGGCATGTTGATCTGCTAATATGACTGCATTCCACGAGAGTGGATCTATCTATGTTGAATGATAGTTTCATTGGGAATGAGCACTTAGAAAAGACATGGTTCCAATGCACCAGATTTTAGAGAGATGATGTTGATGGGCAATTTGGAAATACTTTAGCGCTATGATTTTCTGCGCAAAGATTTTAGGTTTTACATGACAGTAATAGTAGAAGAGCGCTCTTTGGTAGTAATACTTGTAGTTCGTGCTGAAAAATTTTATGACTCTTCATAATCTCTCTTTGGTCAGTTTTCATGGGACTGTTGTCACATATAAATGCTTTAATAATAATAATAACCAAATGTTGGTGTGATGAATTTCAAAACTTAAGATTGGTCTACTTCTGTCTGGCATGAATTTGAAGTTGGTCATTAACAAATGTAACTTTTGTTTTGAAACAGTTGCCATTTGTGTGTCATGTTCTGTTATATTATAGGAACAGTATTGTATCTTTGGACAATTAGATTCTTAAAGTAGACCAAGCTTAGGTCTAAAGTCTTTATGACACAAGTCCCACTAAACCATGCTGGGTGCATTGACAGTAAATCTATGAAACTAAGTAGTTTGAACCAACTCCGTGGGGACTCTAGCTGAATACTATCAGATTAACACGTCCTTTCTGGAATAAAATACCGAAAACTGTTGCTTATAATATACTATTGGTGTGCTGAGCTTTCTTTATACAGTGAGAGTCCCCATGGAGTTAGTTTCATTGTGAATGTACCTAATGTATTTTTGCCTGATAATATTCCATCAAATCTTAAGAAATAACTTAATATTATGAAAATAGCTATTAGATTCAGACCATAAAATTAATTGATAATGATATGGATTTTGGGGGCAAAATTACACAATTACTTCAATTACTTCAGTATCAATATTCCAAAATGTAAAAACAGACTCCTTATCTCTAACATTGCCAAAAATCCTTTGAAAAGATAATGACTAAAAGATATTAAAAACTGATTTTTCTAAATGATTAATCAATTAAAGAAGAATTTTCATATTGTATATACATATGTTTGTGTACAGTTTTGGTAACTTGTGTGCATTGATATTTGTGTGTGTGTGTGTGTGAACATTTTTGTGTGTTTTTGTTTGTAAAATATGTGTATAGTATAAAAAATAGAGAGAGAGAGTACATGCACACGTGTGTAAATAAAAAATGGATGAGTACAGATAAATGAGAAAGGATAAGATGAATGAAAATACATATGACCTGTCAGTGTATGAGATTGACTGTTATTCCAGTCATTTGCCTAATGCTGGTATGAGTTCTTACCAAACAGATGGCTGTAGAGTTTTCCAGATAAGATAATGAGGGCATTTACTTAACTCTTTTCCAGGATAAATAAACTTGTATACTTGTATTGGCAAGATCAAACCAGACTGCATGCTGTTTCCTCCTTATATCAAAGATTACACAAAAATGAACCAAGTTGTTTTTTAAATACTGTTTATATAATCAGCTTACACAAGTTCATTTAGATATTATTATTTAATGCATAAATAGCAGAAGCTCTTATGGTGGTAATGAGTGTTATTACAGGCAAGGAGTACCAGGTTCGAGGTGAGTACATGCAACTTTTTTTTTGGAAATGATTACCGGCACATGTGCCTTCAAACAGTAATAGCAGAGAACACCAAACGCCAGAATGCTGAAAGAAAATGGAAAAATTTAGAAAGTCACAATCTCCATGAGATATTTTTTGCTGAAAAGTACCAAGATTTGCTACTGTGACCTTGTTGACAGATTTCAAATCAAGCGTAGACCACAGATGATTTATTTTAAGATGGTCAATGCAGCTCTTGAGTTCAGCGCCCTGATGCCGTCAACGGCCTACATGATCTATAAAAAACTTTTCTATCATCAGTTCTTTGCAAGGAGATTGATCTTGACTGGCTTTGATTGCAGACAATTACAGGTATGTCTGTCTGGTGAATATATTTGATTTGTTCACACCACTAGGCTGTGTTATTTACAGTCATGAGACGATCACTTGTTCCATTCGTGATAAAGGTCGGGTCAGAGGTCAGGTCAGGTGAGGTAATTCTGCACCCTGAGTTACAAGGTGCTTTCCCATCAGTTCCTTTGGGATCCTAGCTAACAGTGTCACAAAACTGCCAATTGCAGTAACAACTAGAAATCAAAGCACAAGGAGAGCACAGACCTCTGTCAAGGCAGCTTGGTGCTCTTTATTAATTGACGGATCTCTACCGAAAGCTAATCATTTCTGAAAAAGCCCATTTCTAACCTATCCTGAAAAATAAATAAAAAAATCTTGATACATTTTTCAGCTAGGATGTTAAATATCCAACAAACAAATGTTAAAAACAGAGACAAAATATAGCATTCTTTGCAGAGATAATAATTGTTATATTTATGATTATAACACTTGTGCTCTAGCATGTACTGATGAAAATGTACAGCTTTACAGGTACAACTACAATATGATAGCACTAGCTAGACTACTGGCACGATAAGGTGACACGAGACCATGTAACCCCATTTGTGCAATTCCTCGGTAATCTGGGAGTTAAGTTTTCAGCAGAATGAACTCGGGGGGGGGGAAAGAACAAAGAGGGTTGATATATAGATTATAGATCGTGATCACCAAACAAAACTGTGAAGTTCGTGTTGGCACAGGCTAGGAGGGTATAAAACTAGCAAAAAGATCAGTTAATTTTATTTTTGGAGAGAGGGGAGAGGCAAATGATGGTATTTACGAAATTGAAAATCAATTAATATTTAGTACTAAAAAAATATCAAATGCATGGTTATTGAAACTTTGACCTTTTTGTTGGATCTCTTAATTTCTTAATTACTGGAAAGTAGCATTTTAAAATATTTAATTAATCCCCCTCCCATAAGAAGACCTCAGCACTGGGTGGCTATAGAGTACGCCTACAGGTTTTTTTTTTAAATTCTTTCTGCTTGGTTTGTCATACAGTATCAGATGTTGACTGCCTGCAATGCTCGGATGATCAGTTAAAGATTGCAAATATTAGGTAAAATATTAAGATGAGGTCTGTTTGCCTTCTGCATGTCTCTGAGTTATTATGAAATGTATATAAATAGCTTTCAGTTACAGTTACTGCATGCGATCCATGCAGTCATGAAGAGCACGGTGGTTTAAAGAACAATGGCAATTTCAGAAAAAGATAAATGCGGTTTGTTCTCTGTGGGAGGTAGGTATAGGTTATAACACAATTTCAGTTCTAGAAATATGAGAAACATACAGCTTCATTAGTATAATGACAGATATTTTTATCTCTCGCCTGGGGATTTGTCTATCCTGTTGCCTCATTAATCTTTTTTCCTCTTTCTATATTTTTTGATTTGCTCTGATTCTGGGAAGTACAAGAACGAGTGAGATTATAGATCCATTTGTTACGATAAAGGGTTTACCCTTGAGTAGGACTGACTGCTACATTTTGAACAAAACAATGTTGATATTAGAATGACTAAATGTTTGGAAAAGTTCACTAAGTTGTCTTTATTTGACATCATTTTTCCATTTTTTTTCCTATGAATTGAATTATTTATTAAAAATTGTTACGGAGTTTTATTGTGAGAAAATTTTTTCCTTTATATATTATTAGCTCCTTTTTTTGCTGCTGAAATAACGTAAATGTACAGTATTCTGTTTTCACTTTTTTTTAGGAAAAATAGGCAATATTGTTATAATATTTTTAAATTGATCTATAAGATCCAGTTCTGATCCACACAAGATGCTTTATCCCATAGTTATTTACTGATTTGTGTGAGTGGCTCTTGGTTTAGTCGTAGACTGTAATATTTTCCTAGAAAATGAAGTTGTTGTTTTTTCTATCAAATTGTATTTTTTTTTTCAGAGATGATCATCTTAAACGTATCAGAAAATTTTTTGTTACACTGAAAATATTTTTTTTTCCAAAAGGAAAAAGCAATATCTCAAAAGAATTCGAACATTTTTGGTAGGGAATTGAACGGCATGGCTATATTTAGCCTCTACTTTTATAAGTGTCATTATTTCTCAGACGGAAACACAGTTATTGATCAAGACAGTTCAATCATTTTATGTTTCCTAGAACCCCACATTGCACAGAGATGTTATCCTTATGTATACATAGTACGAGTCATCATTGTTTGAGCTCAAGGAAATCTCTATAATCACAGTACCCCAAAATCCATTTTTCAAAAATCCTAATATTTATTCCTTACTAAAAGATTTGTACATTATTCTGTCTATTCAGGTCTTTAAATTATTTAATATTTCCGTTATGAGGGTTATCTTTCTTGCAAAGTTGAGTATAATTATCATTCTTCAACCAG